AGGAGAAGTACACTGCAGTGCAAGCTCCACGACATGGAGAACAAAAATAAATGCAAAGGAAAATAATGTTTGATGAAGTGCTGGGAAGGAACACAGAGAAGCTAAAAGAGAAAAAGGAGCAGGAGGTAATACAGTGACGCAGTACAAACTTCAATATATGGAAGCTCAGCTGGAAGGTGTACACCAAGAAATGCAGATCATGATCCAAGACATGGAGAGGAAAAATCAAGGCTTGCACACAATGTTCAATAAAATGCTCCAAAGAAATACACAAATGCTTAAAAGAAAAAGAACAGCAGGAGGCAACTCACCAACTGCTGCAGTGCAAACTTTATAAAATGGAAGTTATAGGCCAAGAAATACAATGCAGGGCAAAGTCCCAGAGAAAAATAGTGAAGGCATACGGGTCATGTTCGATGAAGCAATGCAGAAGTACTGAAAGAGAACAGCAAGAGGCAACACACCATCTGATGCAGTGCTAGCTCCAAGACATGGAGTGGAAAAATCGAGGCTTGCACACAATGTTAAATGAAGTGCTCTAAAGAAACAAATTTGAAAGAGAAACAACAGCAGGAGACAATACACAAACAGATGCATTGTTTTAAAACATCACTGCTGGAAATGACCATCTAGCAGTAATTAAGAAAAGCTCAATAACTTCAACTGATTTTTATTTCACATGACTAAGATCAAGGTGGAGTTTGATAACAGGAACCAGTTCAAGAATAAGTGGAAAATAAAGCTGTGTGAATAGGGCACAGCGGAACCACAGATCCGTGTTTTGAGCCATCTTTATTTTTACATTTGTCACACCACCACAACAACACTCTCAACCAGGGGCGGACTGGGCGTCTGTGGATTCTGGAGAATCACAGAACAGCCAGTACTCCAGGAAGGAAGGCCGGCGGGCCGGACCACATTCTCCACGCATGCTTTCAACACCTGTTTTTTTCCCCCACTAATCTCTTTCACACTCCAGTACTCTAGGGGGGACCACTGCACCTCTGAGTTGGATGCCAGCTGCATTGGCTGTGGCCACCAGGCAAGGAGAAGAAGAAGTGGAGTAGGCGGCAAAGACGGTGGAAAGAAACGATGCAAAACGCAGCTGTGAAGAGTACAAGGTCAGGATGGTTGGGGTTGGCTGTGATGGTGACGAAGAAGAGATCACAGATGTACTAAACAAACAGTGCAAATCTTGTAAGGAATGCCCAGTCTGTTGTTATCTGATTCTGAAACGATACAACCTCTTCACAGATGCTTATCATATTCTTGGCTGGGGATAAAGGTACCTCCTTACTCTGCCTGTGACACAGGTAGCAAGTTTCTCTGTTCTAAAACACATAAAAAGTAGAATAAGTTTTATTAAAATTTTTATTAAATGTGTAGTTTTAGTTATTTTTATACATACATTGCAAATGTGCTCATGAAGAGTTGGCGCTCAATCCTTTTAAGGTCATAAGCTTCGTCTGGCGTGAATGTCCAGACGATATATTGTGTAAAGGTGGCTCAGAGCGCACAAAGGTCAATGCAAGCACGCTTACAGACACAAATAACAGTAGATGAGTTTTAGGCCAGAGGTGAGATATATTTTTGCTTGTAACTGCATTTTGTGCCTGCATAGCAACAGTTAGGACAGGATAGGCTAAAGATAAGCATAAGAAGTGTAAATCAACAGGAAACATCTGGAGGGTAAAAGATGGTTGAAAATGCCATGTATGGCAAAAATGTTGCTGATAACGGGAACTTGTTTAACTGACATTAACTGTAACTAATGCATGTTATATTATTTGCTGACGCAAGAAGGGGCAGAACCCTGACATACAAAACCAATTTGAAGTGTGTTTTTTAGTGGAGATCTATGCTGATGATGTCACTGTGTACATCTCCCCACGCACATGTTCAATAAAATCATTGTTTGACTGAACTCATCTGGACCAGTTTTTATTTGTTCTCATCCTCAATATAAAAGAATCAGGATAAAGCACACAGTCACAAGAACACCTGGAAGCATTCATGCTCATGACTACAGAGAAAGACATCCTCGTGTATCCCTTGACAATGACTTGGTCATAGACAGAGTTGCAGAAAAAAGCGACCTGTTGAAGAAAATACTTATCCCCCAACATTGAGTAAGGTGAGTATTCAAGTTAACCTGCATACTAAAACCTCTTTACTTTGTGATTTATCATAACTCATACAGTACTATGTGTTGTGTGTTTCAGATAACTGTTTTGTATTGGTTCACCCAGAGGGACTGCAGTATGTTGAGACCTCCATTTCTATATGAGTATTCAAATTAATCTACCATAATATACTTTTAATACAACATCTAGTCAACATCAGCACTGTTGCTATAATTTTGATGGTTTGATAGCATAAGCCACAATTAAAGTCTTGTAACACTCATGCCAGTTTCTGCACGCCAATTACTTTGGGCCGGGCCCAGTCAAAGTCCACGACTGTTTTTAGTCCCAGTCCATCCCTGCTCTCAACCCTGCTTCCCCGTGATTTAACACCGCGCGCGTGATCTGCAGATGCCGTGCAGGTGCGTCTGCACGACATTTAACACTCTAATAATGTTTTACCAATTTAAAGATCCTTGAACCAGGATTCTTGTAATGGCCAGCAGTGGGCGTCTTGTGTGCTTTCAGAGAGACCTCATTGTATAGAAATCTCTGTGAACAAGGGCGAAAATGCCCTCACTCTCTGACCTGAAGAAGCACTAGCCAATCAACTAGTCTAAAAGTAAAAAAAAAACAAAACACTCAGGTATCAAGTTAAATTGGAGATTTAATGGACAATGTCAAAAACTCTCTGACAAAAGGCATCACATTCTTCAATAATAAATTATTCCACTTAACTGTGCGGCACCTCACATCATGCATTATGAACTATGCAGGTTGTACTCCAAACAGACGGTGAAGAAGGAAAATTCAATGTTAAATATAATATGGTAACCTAATTTTTTCTTAAAAACTAAAACAATGCAACTGAACGGTGTGGCGCATTGTGCCGTGCATTATGAATGATGCGCATTGACTGAAAATGTATGACAACCATTTCAATAAAAGTTAAAATTTAAATAAAGGCAAACAATAAATCATCAAGGCAGTTTCTTCTGATTATCTGAGGTCAGGTTGCGGGGACAGCAGGGAAGCCCACCAACATGGCATAACAATTTACTGGCAATGGCAAAATTTGCACAATACATTTTTATGCAATAAACTGATATAATACAATTTAAAATGCATATATGCAATATTTTTATTGCTTTAAAATGTTTTTGTAATTTTTCAGAAGGTTGATTAATCTTGTTTTGTTAAGCATGTGTCCCTTTTAAGTGCACAGTCTGTTAGTTGAAGTCACACTGCCAGTGATTTTTCTTTCATTTTCAAGAGAAATGCATTCTTTACAATCAACACCAGAGGTCAGAATTTGACTGTATAAAATGTTAAATGTGTTCATATATATTTCTTTTTCCGAAGAAATGATCTTGTGTATGCACATCCAGTCCTTTTTGTGGATACAGGTATAAACATTAAGCCAGTAAGCCTACTTTGACATATATGTGGATATATTGTAGAATTACTATAAACCCTTTATTGAGTGTAACTGTAGAATTTACATAGTTTGGAAGATGGCAAGTAGTAAAAGTAACACTATTCAGCATTATCATCATCATCATTATCATCATCATCATTATCATCAGTGAGAGCCCATCATTTTTTTATGTAGACCGTGACTGAAGTGTAAGTTGCTCACTTGTACTCAGTCAAGTTTTCCACATCAGTTGCATTGTTTGGCCAAGTAGTTGGAAGTTATGTTCCAAATGATGTTTGCAGCAACATAGCGTTGTCGACATCTGTCCTCAACAGCATTAATAGTTGATTTGACAATCAACTATTGCACCAATTTGATCTCTGTATTTCTTGTGCCTCCCAGGTTTCAGGGTCCCTGTGTGTTTCAGAATGTTAAAATATATTTCTATGTATCTTATCATATCTTTTGGTCTTCCCTTTGGTCCTTCAACAGAAGACAATTCTCCATAATAGATGGCTATAGGCAGCCTTTCTGCAAATTCTATTCCAGCCCACCTGAGATGAAGTGCTGTGATACAGGCCTCTGTACTAAATACGCCTGCTTGCTCAAGCACCACCTCTAATTTGCAGACTTGCTGTGTGCATGTACTGCAGTTGTGTACTTTTGTTCTTCTGTGTATGAAGTGTATGAATGTGTGTGTGAATGGGTGGATGACTGGATATGTAAAGCGCTTTGGGGTCCTTAGGGACTAGTAAAGCGCTATATAAATCCAGGCCATTTACCATTTCTTAGTTTAAGAGGTTATGAAAGTGTTCCTTCCATTGCTCAGTAATTGCTCATATATGTAAGAAGTCAATTCCTGTCAGCTGTCTTCTCTCATGCAACTGAATTGGTTCAGCAACCATAGGTGACCCTCAGTGCAGGGCCTACATCATGCTCCTATAACCTGTCTGGTATTTTTCATGTACATTATCCTAGTGGATAAGTTTTGTTGTGGTCAAGACTTTATAAAACAATTGTTTTTCGTAGTTTCTATTATTGTGTTTCCTGTTTCCTGTTGTTTCCTATAGCGGTTGCTATAGCCCCTACAGGACTGTAATATAATCACCTTTTACTTAAAAATTAAGATTTCATCAGAATAAAGCATAACTGCATAAATACATCTCAGTTATGTTAATGAATGATATTACCACAATAACAATACAGCATTCTTATGGACTAAGGATGCACACACACACACACACTTACAAATACACAACCACATCACATAAACACGGATGAAGAAGACGCACAAGGAGAATGTTCAATTCCTAGCAATCAATTAGGAAAATTGGCAACCCTGTTGTGCTGCTTCACCGGGGGTCCTGATTTCACAGCCAGCCTCCGTCACTACTGCGTCAGCACTGATGAGCTCAGCCTTACCGTAGGGGAGGGGGGAGGGGGAGCTGGGGAACAGTGAAGAGAAGGGAAGAGTGAGAGTGAGAGAGAGAGTGAGAGAGAGAGAAGAAACGGGGTGTTGCCGCCTCAGAGACACACTCACGCACGGAGTAACAGCAGCAGGCTGAGAACAGAGCATCCCCCCATACTTCTCTCTGGGAAATCCTGTTTGTTTTTTAATTATTGAAGCATTACAAAGACTTTTGTATTATTAATAAAATCTGAGACCGCACGAGCATAGCATCAGAGGAGCGGCTACTACAGAAAGCAGCGCCGAAGCTGAAGCGTTGAAGCAGACGGACATTGTTCAGCACCTTGGATAGCGACCATGGCTCCAATGGTGGAGGATGGAGCTCAGCTCGGTGAGTCCAAATCCTGCTCAAAACTTCACGGATATCGTTTTCATCGAGAAAACCCCACCGTGGATGTCTAAGCTGCCGCGTGACTCATCCTAAAATTGTTAGCTAGCACTGGCTGGAAGTGGCCAGAAGCTAATTTATGGATTTCAAATTTAGCTGACTTTCTAAATGTCGTCTTCTTCTTTTTTTTCTTTTTCTTCTTCGTTGTTTGCTATTTTTGTAGGGCGTGTAACTAGTGTAAAGTGAATGGCTCGCGCAGTGTGTCGTAAAACAATGTGTTTGGGTGGACTTCATTCCTCCATTTTGCAGCTGGCCAAAGGGCGACAGCTAATTATCAGGAAAGGGTGGAGCTCATTATTCAGTGCGATATTAATGGGTGCAATAATGAAGTCACTATTTTTGTATTCTAGGTGTTACTACAACGCAGGTAAAGCCAGGAAAGCACCTGTTTGTTTTCTTTATTTTCCTCTCGGTTCAGCTGCTATACCTCACCGCCCTCCCGTTGCCTCATCCATCTGTCTGTTGTTGCTGCCTTGAAAGCCATCCCACCCAGGGATGCTACTGGGCTGAAATATTCATGAAAAAAGCAGAGAAAACAATATGTATAAGTGCTGTGATCTAAAAGTGAAGTGAACTGCTTACTCGTGGATAAAGTGAATTTCGTTGTATTTTCAGATTATTACACAGTTGCCAGAGCAAAATCAGCCTACAATATTAAGAAACTATATGAATGGAAATCTCTGCAATATTATTAGATCACCCCAATCCCATAGAAGAAGATTACATATTAATTATTTAGGGTTAAGTGAGAAGGGAACTATATATTCTTATTGCTTGCTGTGTGTTAACAGAACACATTTGCTATACAATAACCCCAGCACAAAGGCTGTCTTAGGAAAGTGTGAATTAGTGATACTGTACTGATTCTCAAATTATCAAAAGCAGAGCCGTGATTGTGTTGACAATATGAAAAGGCAGATTTTAAAGATAAGTATCAGAGTGATTGATTACCACAACCACCACCTTGCCACTTCCACCTCTTCCTTCTTTTTATGGGCTTATCTGAGTGCTTTTCCACTATGTCGCCTGCTTAATTGCAGGAAATGGTATGCATTTTCTTCTGCGAGGCAACCCTTTTAAATCTGGTAGCATGACAAGGCAGCTTGATTGATGGTGAGTCACAGCTCAGCACTGCAAAACAAAGAACTGAAGCATTCACTTGTAAATATCTCTGTCTCCGGCAATACCATAAAAGGAAAACTGGCAGGAAATAGGTCCCTAAATATGCCTTAGTAATCCCAATAGTAGTGACCATCATCCTTGATGAGTATGACTAAAGATATCTGCGTTATTAAGTACTGTTTCTAAATCAGGACCACCCAGCTGGTTGAAATAAGGATTTGCCCAAACCACATGTATTAAATTCTCACTGCAAATATTTGAATTTTCAACATTTCTGCCTGTTTCCTTGTAATAGTGTACACTGATCTTTATAATGCTTTTGTGACAATGATTGGATCTGAGTTTAGCTGTTTTTATAAAGCTGCTATGGAGAGATCGCCTTGTCACAAAAGACGTTGTGTAGTTTTCCCACAAGTTCATTATTTTTCCACCTGTTTCCTGTTCATAAAGAGTAACCATGTTTGGAATCTGAAAACAGTGATGCCGAGATTTGATCAGAGTTGAACAGATTGCGTTGTTCTCCCTCTGAGTCAAGGCTGCAGCTGCATTAGTCACAATCACAAAATGGACTCACTTGCCTCGGTGTAACAATAAAATCTGTGAGATAGAAATTGTTTTACAGTTGCTGCTTAGTTTGTTAAGTTTTTATTTTTAATTTTACTTTGCTGAATTATTTTTCTCCATCTGTCCACCCACACCCCCGCTGTCCTTCCCTTCATTCTTTCCTCCCCCACAGTGGCAGTGCCAGTAGGTGTTGCTGTGGTGAGTGTCTTCGGCCTCGTATTCACTGTGTCAGCCTTTGCGTGGATCTGTTGCCAGCGTAAAAACACCAAGTCCCAGAAGACACCTCCGTACAAGTTTGTGCACATGCTCAAAGGAGTCGACATTTACCCAGAGAGCCTCAGTGGCAAGAAAAAGTTTGCTGCGCCTCCCACCACAGCAGCTAACGACACCAGTAAAACAGATGTCAATGGAAACTGCCACACCGCGCCACCAGTGAATGCAGCTGGCACAGACAAACTGGCATCAAGCCCAAATGGCTCCAGGCCAACTCTCCATCTGGACCTGGAGAAACGGGATCTGAATGGCAACTTTACCACTAAACCATTTCATCACCACCAGAAGCTGCGGAGCTCCCCAGATCTGGAGCTGCCTTCTCCCCATGCAGGGTTCACCCAGCCTGGTGTGATGGACCGCCGTGACCTGCCTTCACCATCCAGTACTCTCTCCAGCCAAGCACCCACCCCGGCTGTGGACAGGCCCCAGGGGGAAGACAAGGAGGCTGGACTAGGGACCCTCCACTTTTCCCTTGAATACCAGGAAGAGAGGAAGGCATTCATTGTTCATATCAAGGTACTGTATATGTTTAAGATTGTTTTTAAAACATTTAAAGTAATACTTATTTTTAATACATACAGTCTTAAATACTTCATTGTTTTCACTTTTCTAGGAAGCCCATGGTCTGACTCCAACTGACGAGCAGTCGCTGACCTCTGACCCTTACATCAAGCTGACCCTACTGCCGGAAAAAAAGCACAGGGTGAAGACCAGAGTCTTGCGAAAAACTCTAGACCCCACTTTTGATGAGACCTTCAGCTTCTACGGCATCTCACTTGCTCGTGTGTCAGAGTTGGCCCTTCACTTCATGGTGCTGAGCTTTGACCGGTTCTCTCGTGATGAAGTCATCGGCGAGACCCTTGTTCCCTTGTCTGGGATCGACTTGTCCGAGGGGCGTGTCCTCATGAGCCGAGAGATAATCAAGAAAAATGTCAAGGTAAGATTTGGAACAAATGTTTGAAGCCTTAGTGTTGTATTTCATGTATAAAGTCATTCAGTGAGCTCAATTTTAATTCTACAACTGCTCTGATAGTGACTCAGCTTTTTTTCATCACACCATCTCTGTCTACACCACCACTCCCTAAAAGCATTACAGCAGAACAGCTTAGTCAAATGCAGCAAAGTAAGCTGATTACTTCCACTGTTACCATATTAATCAATAAATAATCTTAAAAGTCATTTAAATACTAAAATATAATAATGTGTAAATCATTCAAATGCAAGCCCACCATTTTATCGATTCCAAATTCTCTTAATAAAAATGATTAATCTCATTCCGTGTGTGTGATCTCTATCTTCGATGGAAGTTTTAAATTAACATTTAATTGGTATATACCAGAGGAATAACTATCATAACAGCCTCTAGTTGGTTTAGAAATGATTTTAATATCATGTGAAACCAGAGGAGAAAGCAGAGAGGGTATATATCTCTCTGTGGAGAGAGAGATGAGATCTGTTACAGGAATATGGATTTGCAAGTTGACACTGAGCTGCTTTGGATACAAGGATGCTTTTGGTATTTATTGTTTACGTTTTTCATCAGCTTTTTTAGGGTTCGTTATTTTCTTACGTCATTTCATCTGCTCATTGCATTTAACAGCTGGAACTGCTTTACATGACATCCTCCCTACATACTTTTCCTTTAGTGCATCACACAGTTAAAACGGTAATGGCAACCTGTGAACCAGGCTATCATGGCGACATTTCCCATTCCACAAAGGTCAGACGATAACAACACTACATCATTATAGATCTGTGGGCAGGCGGTCCAGGCTTGCTGTTCCTGGCATCTGTGAGGACCACAAACATGCAGCAGTAATGTTTATAAGTGTCATTTAATGTATTGAGTACTTTGACACCCATGAGTACATTATGTCTTCATTTCCTCTAAATGCATTAGCCTAAATGATTCCTGGTTTGGCTAAATTAAATAAAAGTAAAAGGATATCCTTGTGCTTATCATTGGTCTGTGGTATAGTATAGAGCACCACTCTATAGACTGCTATTAAATGGTATGGCCATGCATGAGCATCTCTCATTGTGTAATTATAGACGTGTGAGGTGATATTGTGCTCTTCCGAAATGGAAGCTCTTTCCCTGTGTGGTAGTTGTGGATATGTTCATGCATATTTGTAGTTTCTCAAAAGGAATATGAGCTACGTGTAATGTCTTTAATGGTCTCTGGTACCATATCGTACTCTAGGGAAGTGCTAGGAAATGGAAGTCTGTGAAGTATAAAGGGTTTATCCCATCTCCACTCGTCTCTCTTCAAGAGGATAAGATTTCTTATCTCTCTTCTCTTCACCCCATGCTGAGACAAACTGTATTTCATCAATTCCATTTCTCATCTGGGTCCCAGAGGAGAGAAATCTCGCAAAGCTTTATAGTAAGGGGGAATAAGAACCTGTGAAATCAGCTAAAAATTAGTTTTCGAATTCATGAAATTGCTTTGCAGGTTATTTCTGGCTTCTTTTGCTGAAGAAAATCCTTAATCTCTTCATTTATTTGCCATGCCGCAGCTGAACTTGTCAGAATGAGAAACATTTCATATGCAAATAAAAGGGCGGAGAACGCAGCTTGTTGGCCTTGTAACATGGATTTACAGTGCACAAAGGGACAATAATTAAACAGAACCATTTTCTCCACATCAGCATGAGAGACGCATGCAGTTGTTTCTTAAAAGTTTCAGCCCTTGCCTTACAGGGTGGTGGCTCTCTTTGTCTGTGTGACATAGATTTTGTCTCACTGCTTTGTGTAGTTTTGTGTATGTGTGACCACCCAGTAGTTTAAAGAATCAATGCACCAGAAAATAAGAGACACAGCCATCACCAACATGCTTTCGCTCTGGAAGTACAGAAACAATAAATACATTAATACACAAATAAACAAACTAATAAGACTAAAAATAACAGGCAATCCTTTTGGATTTAGACCTGAACATCAGGTCATTGCTAGAAGTTGTCTGTGTGCTACTTCTCGTTGCTGTGGCAACCATGAGACTGCGAGCCTCTAAGGTGCGATCGCAACCATCTGAGGTGCCGACTCTCACGGGGCGCGGGCATGGATGTGTATGTGCATGAGCAAACTGTGACAGCAGCAACAAATTGTAGAGAAGATCGGGAGCTTCTCAGTGACACATTTTGTGTGTGTTAAATATGAAAATCTACCACATAAGCAGGTGATGATTATTTAGCCGGCAGTGTCTCAAGCTGTCAGGACTGGCACCATTTGCTGCACGGGAAGCAGCAGCAGCACCACAAACCGTTTTGTAGCTCGTAATTTTGTAGGTTATTCATTATTTAATAACTACCACGCCCTATTGTGTTAATTCTTTTAATACATACTAAGTGGATCCATTCTTCTGATTAATTTAACCTACTTAAATGTATTAACTTGAGAACCGAATAACAACTTTACAAATGACTGCTTATTAAGTAGAATTGGAAAACATGAAAGGACAGGCTGGATTTAGGGTTTCTTTAGTGTAAGTTTCACTTACAAATGTTTGCTCTGTTTTCTCTGCCGATTTTTGCTTCTTTTTTTTTTTACTTTATCCATTCTTCTCTTCTCCACAGAAATCTTCAGGTCGTGGTGAGTTATTGCTGTCCCTGTGTTACCAGTCCACCACCAACACTCTGACTGTAGTTGTTCTCAAAGCTCGCCACCTCCCCAAGACTGAAAACAATGGACCTACAGGTACACAGGCTTTTAACTGAACCAGTTTAATATGCAAACCATGTCCATATAACTGCAGGCTTGAATGTATTTCTTCTTCATAACGGTAAAGGGATGAAACCAAAATCATTTTGCTCTTCCTGCTGTGCATCCCAGACTGCTTTAGATGCTGTGATAGTTGCACTAATGGCACCGCCACCGCACCAAAGTAATCTGATCAGGATGTGATAGAGCACTTTAGTGACAAGCACACACACACACGTACACACACAGTGTTTACACAGCCAGCCTCTTTTGTCCTCATCACTAACATCCATCATTTCCGCTCTATTGATTGCTGTATTGATCTGGTTTAGAAATAATGTGCCACTCTGCAGCTGCCGCAGGTATGGATAGTCGCTGTGGCTTTTCTTGCTCAACTCTTATCGTTCTTCTCCTCCAGATCCATATGTCAAGGTGAACATGTATCATGGAAAGAAACGCGTGTGCAAGAAGAAAACCCATGTGAAGAAAAGCTCGCCTAACCCGGTGTTTAATGAGCTCTTTGTCTTCGATCTACCCTCCGAAGAGGGCCTGAGGGACACCAGCGTGGAGCTACTGCTGATGGACTCAGACATGGGCAACTCACGCTGCCCCAACACCGTCATTGGGCGCCTTGTGCTGGGCACATCGGCGGCAGGTACTCCCGGGGAGCACTGGAGGGAGATCTGCGACCACCCGCGTCGCCAGATCGCCAAGTGGCATGTCATGTCAGAGGATTAGAAAGTTGGGGTGTTGGTGGCTCCTGTCATCCATATCTGATCTGGTTCAACCACGAGAGGGACGGAATGAGGATGGGTGGGATCCAACATCCTGCTTGCCAGTAACCAATGGACTTAAAATGAGGGCGGGTTGAATAAGGGGGGAGTGGACTTTGATGTGTGTAGGAGGGGTTCATTTCAAGTGATGTCATCATTCAATCGTTCATTCATTCAATCACCTATCTTTGAAGTATTTGGGGTTCAGTGGGAGGGCAGGGGCATGACAAAAGGAACCCCAAAGCTTTAAACGATTCCAAAGACTGTCACTGAAAATCACCTGGAAACATGCAGCATCATCTACATGCAAGCAACCAATTGTCACTGTAGCCGTGTGCAGTGCAGAATGTCTTTAATGTTGCTATTACTCTTCTTCTTTTCCTCTTCTTCTTCTTCTTCTTCTCTTTCTTCAGCTCTTCCTCCTATAAATAGTAACCTATATTCCATCATATGAAAACCAGAATGAACCACATCTGACACAGCTGTAAAAAAGTGGATTATTATTAAAGTTTATTTTATAATGACAATGTTTTCATCATAAAGATGTAGACTGTTTTTATTTATCTTTTTTTTATTTGTACTCTTGGTTTGTTGAACATGTTTTGTAAGTATAAGTGGTATTTCATATATCATTTTCTTAAGTGCAAGAAAGCCTAAATTAGGTGGTTGGAGAATAGATTGGAACTGACTGACTGCATCGGGGACAGTAATGTGGATGCATTTACACACGTGTGAGAGGATGCGCGTCTTTCGAATAAAGTGTCCTGACACCACTGTGTGAGTTTGTGTGTGTGTTTGTGTGTTAAAGAGATGGGAGCCGCATAATATTTACGTTGTGTTTTGTCCCCTTTACTGTGAGCACAAAGACGGCTGAAATGTAAATGTATGTACTTATAAAATATGGCAAGTTCTGAGAAAGAAAACGAGTTTGATTTTTTTTTCTTTTTTATTTAACTGTCAGTGTGTTATTAAAAATACATTAACACCACTTCTATAAAGGATTTTAAGGGTTGAGTCTGATGCAAGAAACTAAGGTAACGAAGGTTAAATATTCTTATTATTTTCCTGGCAACAGCCACCATCTCCACAGAAAATCTGTCTAAGCTAAAAGCTTCTTTAAAATTATACTACTACATTACACAGTCTGTGCACAGATGTGCGCATCACCTGCCCCACCTCTAGGGATGACATCATTCGGCTCAATTCCAAATCTGATGATGTAATAACTGCTGAGTGGCTAAGTGCTTGGGGATGAAGTCATCATGTCTGAATTTAATATCAGCTAAGTGGTTCAACAAGAGGACAGCTGCCTCAGCATGCTACTCCCCTCCTTTCATAAAATTATAAATTCAACTGCAAATCTAAGTCTTTAAAACTGTTATTCCTCTATTTCTCCTCCCACCCTGTAGTCTTGCACTGAGTTGCATCAGTGTCTGTTGGTCTGTCCCCTTGCACTTCTTCTTCAGTGCTTCTAACACTGTAGCTGGTTTCTATTGTAAACACCTGTCTGTCATTATTTAAGAACTCAAGGTTATTTTGTGCAAGATACCGAATCCATGCTATCCTCGTATTCTCAGCTTTTCTAGCTATACAGTTACAATTAAGAAGGTGATTGGCTGATGCTATATATATGTGTGTGTGTGTGTGTGTGTGTGTGTGTTTGTTTTTTTTGGTGTGTGTGTGTGTGTGTGTGTGTGTGTGTGTGTGTGTGTGTGTGTGTGTGTGTGTGTATTAATAATATGATTAATATTATACCTTGCTACATGGTACAACTCATCCAAGAAGTCTTGCCTCACTTTCCAGTGTTTTAGTTTTAATTAGGACTAATCAGCTACTAGCCAGTATTTTAGTATCTCAGCTAGTATGTTTATCTATGCATTGCATAGTTTGTCAATGCTGGTAGTTAGCCAAGATTGTCCACATTAGTTGCTAACTTCAGTAATTTCATATAACTAAGGTAACTTTTGGGTCCAAAAACAAACAAACATGGTGGTAGCAACACATGGACACTGAAGATTCAAAATGCGTAATCCAGTAGCAACTGTGGCTTCATAACTTTGTCTTCAACCAAAGGAAGAAGCAGATAGATGGCCACAGGAGGTTGAGACAGGAGTCAGGCCACCTGACTGCTGCAGAGTGTTGTGTGGAAAGTGATCACATAAGGCCATTCTGACATATGACTAAAAGAAGTGATCGGGGGAAGAGATGAGTATACGGCTAAAGTTAGTTTAGGAGTGTGTGAGATGAGTTTATGAATAGCTGACGTGTGTGGGTTTGCAGACAGCTGCCTGGTGTGTATATTTGAGTGTCAAGAAGACAAAGTAGTGCAGTGAAGAGGCGGAAACATTGAATGACTGAGATATGATGTCTGCAGGAGAATAGACAAGAGAACTTGAACAATGACTTGAACTTGTGAAGGACAGAAAGAGCAGTTCTCAGCGAGAAAAAACTTTTTATAATCCACTGAAGAAAGGAAGAGATTCCAACCAGATTAGTTGTCTATAAATTATAAAGTTTAAATTGTAGCATTTTTATAAAATACTGTGAAGTGATAAGAAAAAAATTAATCTTGTAAATAACTGAATTTTCATCTTAAACAAAAACACTAATAACACACGTCTCATTTCATGTTCTTCATTTTTGTTTCATTTCCATTGTATTTCTGAAGTCAATCTTTCTTTCTTTTTTCTTTTATCATAATTACAGACAAGCAATTACATTATAAGTTGCAAAAACATTACCAACAATTCATTATTCTACATGCAGTAATCCATATTAAGCATTGTAACAAATATACCTTTCCCACCCTTGTTTTGCTCCTCCAATAAAAAAGTATCAAAATACTCTTTCATTATGTCAACAAAGCAGCTCATATAAGACATTTTAACTGTTATGATTTGTTTATTTATGTCCCAAACTATCCAGATAGTCTGCATCAGATCAGACATTTAATCTCATGCAACATTTCACTTCAAGGTTGCTCTATTGTGATGACAGCAGAGGAGAGATGGCAGACGTGGCTGACACTGTAGAGAGGGGGCTTATTTATATAACCTGTTATCAGTGAGGTAGCTTTACCTGAGGTAGAGAGAGACGAGAGAGTACAAAACATATGATGGTGAAACTTCAAAGCAGAGACTACAGTCTTACATAACATCCTAGTCAAAGTATTTCTTGAACTAACGTAACGCTAATAAGTGCTGTTGAGACATTCATTCTCACACCCAGAGAGGAAGGAGCTGTTGTTACTGCAAGAGAAAAATGTAGATACAAGATAGCAGAATTATCACTACTGCACTTAAAAAGGTAGGATTTGATACTTTTTAAATATTCCAGCTAGGTTGCTGTAGAGACCACTGTGGTTTACACCTCATTGTTCTTATTGGTCTCTATCCATCATTCTGTTATGAGATACAATATTTCTGTGTGGCAGAAATAAATAACCCCAGAGCCACTGTGTCATCTCTACCACCCCATAATAAAAACGAGTAGAGGAACAAAAACCCAACACTCAGGTACCTCTGACAGAGGTGAATCTTTTTTCATCAGCCACGGCTTTTTCCCTCAAAAATATGATTATGAATTATTACTTCATCCCGAGTCTTTTGTTTTTCAGCTTCAGAAAGTTTGTTGCTTTTTTGTTAAGTGATCAAAAGGAAACTTTGTTCATCCTTCCATTTCGTCAGTCACAACTACATAATATAGTTAAGATGTAGATGATATCCAATAGATGGATGACTTATCATCTCCCTACACTGTGTCTCAAGCTTCATAAGAGGACAGAATAATAAATCACGTCTTGATGCGTAGGGAGTCAGCATAAGCGCAACGCGTACTGTATTACATATTGTGATATCAACTGATGTTTGAGATTTTCAGCATAAACTGATGCAGAAAAGTTTCAAAGGTGCATTAAAATTGACCTAACTACAGTCAATAACCTGTCTAATCCTCAAATCCCCATTGCTTCATGTGTTCCCCGCACAGCTAAGATGAAACCCATCCATTAGATTAAGAGCAGGGATTCTCTACAGGAACAGTTCAGCGCAAAAGTAACTTTGTTGTCATCTTTTCATGTGTATAATAATAGCACATTATCTTTTGTGATGCTAACATTGATGCTAGACTAGACAGTGGTAATGATATTCGGTATTAGACCCATTAGAAGGAGTATCTTTATAAATATCACACTTGTTGTTGTGTTCCTAATTGTGATATCATTGTGTCTGATCAATGACCTTTTTCAAAAGGTGACTGGACAGGTTGCCTGGAGAGAGGCAATCTCCATCCACTCATCCATGATCTTCTGTTTATCCAAAGCCAGGTTCTTGCTGGCAGTAGGCTAAATAGGATATTCCAGACATCCTTTCCCAGTTACTCTTGGGGGAGGTAATCCTGTCTCCAAGCAATCACGGTCCAAATCAAACTGACTGCAATCCTTTAAGACAGATTGGTAAATATCTGCAAATAACTGTGATCTAATTCAAATGCAGGCAGTTCCATTTAATTGAAGCCTGAACACAACGTGTCTGTCATGCACCTCTTTGTAGTTGTAGACTGGAGTCAAATGATTACCAGGTTATTCGTGTTCTAGTTACATTCCTATACAAAAGCAAGGTTGCCAAGTGCCTATGTCATTTTGCAGTTGAATCGCCATCTTGCAGCAACTATGTCTCAATATCATAGTGAATGTGAATTTCTGTTTATATCCAAGGCAGCAGATTCACAATTTTCACTGATTTATCATAGTCGGTTGCTGTATATTTACAAATAGATTGCATCTAATTGTCAATTGTCTTTCAACTGCAAACTGGTGGCAGTCTGAACGCAAACAGACTGCATCTTATTTCTATTATAATCTTGATACACCAAAGTATTTCGAAGATAGCAACTGATAGAAAAGCAAATGCAAGCTCACTTCCCACCATTGCATGAGTTTTGGTTGCCTTCTCCAAACGCTGTTTTTCTCTAGTGTGACTGTAGCATAAAGGCTAACAAAGGTCAGTTGCACCACATCCCCTTCACCACAGTTACCTACAGATTTATGTTTAGGTCTTTCTCCTTATGGGCCTTTGCTTAATGCATGGTTTGGTTTGGGCTTAGGCATAGCTTTATTCTTTGCTAATCCAATTAGCTTCTGATTGGTCCCAGTCTATATAAACTACATACTATTTAGTTGTGGTACTATAGGATAAAAGTTCAGCCGTGTTAACTTTAGTAATAAGGATTAACTTTTACTGTTTATCTCTGTGCTCAGCTTGTGTTAAGGTTCATGCAGTCTGAGTCATGACCGTGTTTATACTATACTCCAGAGCCTTTCTAATCTTTCAGCATGTTCCTCTTTCAAATTACCTGTCTGTGTGGAGAAATCTGTCCCTGGTGCACCGTGGGATGGAGGGGATGAGTCATTGTGCAAACGACTTTCAGTCATGCAGACATCAACAATTAAACATGTTTCACTGAGACTCTTAGGTTTGTCCTGCAGGTGCTGCTTGCATACCAGAATTTATCCCAGACAATTTTAGTGCATATTCCAGACAACCGAATCATCAACTATAGACTGATAAAAAAGAAAGCTGATCATCCACATCAGTCCTGATATTTGTGTCACAACACATATAAACAAACAGACACTAATTACCTCATTAAAATGGGGAATAGAGATTGGCTATAAGTCAGGCTGTGAGAGCTAAAAGGAATGATGCCATTAGAGAGAAAAGGCTTGGCATTGGTTAATGGGAATAAACAATAACTTTCTGGGAGTAGAACATGTGGCAAACTCAGTGCCTTCCTAATTAAAAGGTCAGTTTTAGACTCTTTAGACATTTTTGTTGTTGCTAGTAACATTTAATTAGTTAGTTTGATGGCCCATGAATGAAAGTGCTTCGTTTGAATATACCAATTAATTTGTGATGGGCAGCAC